GGAAGGGGGGCTTAATGCTTTTAAAAACTGCCCTGCTTAAAAATCACTGAGCTCAATATAGATATAAAGTTTCTCTTTGCCGTTTTTTTGCCATCCCTGAGCAGGAGGTGCCTTGTCTTCTTCTTTAGTGAGAGTCACAGGTGTTTGTGTCACTGAGCCCTCTCACAAGCTGCTCTAAGGAGCAAAATTCAGAAGTAGAGGTGATAAGGTGACACTGGTCTGGGTTAGTGCTGAGGGTGATCATTCCAGGACCCAGAATGTGCAGGAAACAAATCTCTGAACCTTTTCTTGCCTTGCACTGTGATCCTTGCAGGCTGGATGGCAAGTTCGTGGAGCTGCTGCAGACAGTGCTGTGCTCAGCCAAGACCCCTGAGCAGATTCAGGTGTTATGTGCTGCCATCCTGAGAGAGATGTCGCCCTGCAATGATCTGATCCTCTCCTGTGATGAGATTCAAGATACAAAGCTCTTGAGCCTGGTGTCCTCCATCCTTTTGGCTCAGGTAATTGACCTGTCAAGTCAGAAATCCCCCCCTGTCAATATGGATTTACATTTTGATCGTTCCCTGTTTGCTGAGCTCAAGGAGAGTGCAAAAATCAATCAAAAACGTCTGGGAATGAAACAAAGGCAGTTCTGTGTTCTTTTAAGGAGCCAAAATATTCTGCTTTGTGTAGGAAAAAATGCTAACTTTTTTTCTATTTAGTATTTGATAGCAAAGACTGCTTAAAATTGTGCAGTGTGTGGGTGGAGGGCCTCAAGCAGCCTGGGAGCTAACTGGGTGCAACAGGTACCTGCACTAATACATAATAGACTTCAAGTCAGAGCTGATTGTACCAGTTGAGCAAAAGATTTTGAGAGTGTACTTGTTACTGCTACATTTGCCTTTTAATGGTACTGGCTTTCATGTTCAAAAGTAAAAAAAAACCTATACACAGAATCTGTCAAACATGTGGGGCTGTAAATGTGGATGGTGCTACAGAGATCTAGATTGTCCATGGAGAAGGAAACACAAGGACCTTCCACTTTGGAGTGCTACCTGCACTGACTGCCCTCTGGGCAATAAGCTGGAAACCTTTGCTGGGTTTTTTTCTTTTTCTTCTTTTTGTTATGGTGCCTAATTAAGATAAGATGTTTTTCTGAACTCTTCTGTAGCTTCTCATTCTGAGTTTCTCTTAGAAATGCCTCCTGTGTTTGTGGTTACTCCTTTGAGTCTTAGCTAGAGGAAATGAAAACACAGAAATGGAAACCAGTGACGTGTCCCTTATGTGCTGCCTTACAAAGCACCTCTCCCCCATATCCAGCCCTGAGACAGCCCTGCAATTCTGCAGTGTAAAAACCCTGCCTGTTAATTTTTGTTAGATTGCAGCTAAAATGATTAAGAAATTTTTCATCCATGTTTGATGTTCCTGAAATATATTTTAGCCATTTTGGTATTGTTGCTCCAACTTGGGGAGCAACAGGCTCACTCATGAAAGTAGCCCCTCTTCAAGCAGAGCCTTTCAAAACATCATCTGCATGTTTTCATTTGTCTCTGCTTTGAGGGGAAATCATCTTCCTTCTCTGTGCTCCCTCGGCTCTGCGAAACTGATGTTCTTTTTGTAAAGCTTTTGATTTCCCAAAAAACACAGTCTCTGGTGTTGCGTGAGGAGCTTGAAACCTGTTATTGATTGGAGTTCAGTCTGGTTTTCCTCTGAGCAACAAGAGATGTGTCAGCAACATGCATAAGCAGCCCCATCATTGGCACGGGGCTGCACAGGGTGTCTGCAGGAGCAGCAGGGTTCTCTTCTCTTTTCCCTTCACTGCACAGCTCCCCATCCCTGAACCTTAAACTTCCTTGTCTGTGTGCTGCTTTGGTAGATTTATCCATTTTACAAGAGAAGCACAGAAAGCAGCTCCAGTCATGGGTAAGGTTGCCATATGAATTCCTCACTGGAAGCTCACCCATCATTTCCTAATTCCTTCTAGTGATCTGGTTCAAATCTGACTGTTAGATGGGGAGTGTTGGAGGTTGGTGTTTCCTCACAGCCAGATGTGCAAGACCCTGAGTGGCACAGGTTTCCTTTGTGATGACATGATGACACTGACAGAGAAAGAAAACCTCTCAGGCATCTGAGTCCACCTGTCATCTTGAACAAAGTCATCTTGGACAGAAGTGTTTGACAGCATCTCAGAGCTGCAGCTGTAACAGCCTCCAAAAGAGGAAGCTGCTTCATTTTCCACACTGTGAGGATATGGACTAACCAGAGAGTCCTAGAACATGTTACAACTGTCCGTTTTTTGGTCATAAATTTCTAATCTAGTAATTAAGCTAGCAATGACCACATAGGGGTAGCTAGTGCTAGTACTCTCTGCTCTGGAATTGATGGATCATAGTGTTTGATTTGAAGACATCCATTGCACTTGTTAATTCCTACATCATGTGATCTTGTCCACGAACCTGTTGCTCCATCAAAGTGCATCAAAGTCCTGGGATCTGTGAGTTCACATTGCAGATGATCCTGTAAAATGTGGTAAAATAGCTGGTGCTGTGTGGTTTTTTTAGTGCTTGACATTGGTATTGATGCTTGGTGGAAGAGTTTGTATGGTGTTGGTCTCTAATGCTAGTGGATTATCTGCCCAGCTTTACCTCTGCTTTTGTTTTAAGGGCAATAAGGCTGAAGTATCTGCTGTGGGGCAACGGATTGTAAAAGCCCTGGAAAGGAGACTGCCTGAGGGCCAGAATGCTCGGTGCCTTCTTCCTGTCCTCTCCAATGTCATCAGTCTTTCACCAGAAGCTCTAACTGAAGGTGAGTAGATGGGATGGCCTGAGATTGCCATCTGGCTGTGATCTGTAGAGTGATGAGAAGACACTCTGGAGAAGAGAAGCTGTGGCTGCCCCATCCCTGGAAGTGTCCAAGGGCAGGTTGGATGGGGCTTGGAGCAACCTGGTCTAGTGGGAGGTGTCCATGCCCATGCAGGGGGGTTGGAACTAGATGATCTCTAAGGTCCCTTCTAATCCAAACCATTCTATGATCTAGGCTGGAGGAAAAGCAACTGAGGGGTAGCAGGGCTGTGTTGCAGAGGCTGCTTCTCCACCTGGTCTGGCAATGACCCTGTGACTTTCCTTCCACAGAGCAGACCAATGTAGTCAGTAAGAAGATGGCTGACTGGCTGAGGAATGCAAGTATGCAGCAAAGAGTCACTCAATCTTTTGGAGGCTTCTTCTCCAGCCCCAGGAGAAGGCAGGTGAGTGCTGAGTTCCTGTGGTAATCTCAGGGGCATTTGCTAGTCAGGTACCTGCTGTTTTTGGGTTCCCAGAAACAGCTTTTTTTGGGGCATGGTAACCTCAAAGGGCTGCTGTTCTTTGTCACTTTTTGTGGGGTAGGTGGTCAAGGGACATAAGAAAAGTAGGGGGGATTTAAAACCCAAGGACTTAGGGGTTCTGCTGTAGGGCTTTGATCCTTGAAGTAGTTTTGAGGGGACAGTATTTTGGTCACCATGTAAAAGCTGATTGCAAATGAGGCCTGTGTCAGAGAGAGGGGAAGTTTGGAGTGTTTCACCTGGGGAAAAGGATCCAAGGCAGTTGGCTTTTTTCTCTCTGAAAAGCTGCCTCCCTGCAGGTCCCATAGGACACAACAAGGGCTACCTGTCTCCACGGGCTCCATGTTTTCCTTGTCATCTCATGTAGCCTCTCCCTGGGGATCTGACCTGCTGCATCTCTTGCAGCCTGGCCCTGTCACAGAGGTGGATGGTGCCATTGCCACAGACTTCTTCACAGTGCTGTCAGTGGGTCAGTCCTACACACAGGACCAGTGGCTCAACATGCAGGCCTTCTCCATGCTGCAAAACTGGCTGCTGTGCTACGGGGACAGGGGGCTGAAAACCCCCAATTCAGGTGGGAACTGAAGGGCTGTGGGCCAGCTGCACCCCCAGGAGGGGTGTGTGCTCTGAGAGGATTAGGTGGCTGCACCAGCAACACAGCCAATGGCAGCAGTATGGGCTAGAGCTCTTGAGCTGGGAGCAGGGAATCTTTGGGAAGAAATATCACAAAACCTCCTGACTGGTTGTTATTGATCCATGAGGAATTATTCTTTGGATCCCCTGGTTTCAGACAAAACCCTGTGGGTCCCTGAGATAAAAGGCCTGGCTGGTAGGAGTTGGCATCTCCTTAGTGTTGTGACACCCCTAGAGTGTCACCTGGGGACAGACAGCTCCCTGGGCAGCTGTGTGGCTTATACTGCCCATGACACGAGCTGATCTGTGGCAACCTTTATTCTGTAGGTGACAAATCAGGAATGGAGAAGTCTGTAACATCCGTGGTCTCTGCTGCATCCGCATCCAGTCACCTCCTTCCCCCCAGGGACCGTCTGCGGGAAAAGGCCTTCGAGTACTGCCAGCGGCTGCTCCAGCAGAGCACCCGGCGTGGGTCTCACCATCAGCCCTCCCTGCAGCCCTCTTGCTAGTGTCCTGGAAAATGTCTCTGACACACTGCCTCCTTGGGCTGGGATCTCACTCCCAACTTTAAGCATGGAACCAGTTGCAGCTACTCAAGCTGCTCCAGGGGAGGTTTAGGTTGGATATTAGGAAGTACTTCCTCATGGAGAGGGTGATTAGATGTTGGAATGCGCTTCCCAGGGAAGTGGTGGAGGCACCATCCCTGGATGTGTTCAGGGAAAGGCTGGATGTGGCATTTGTGCCATGGTCTAGCCAATGTGGTGGTGTTGGTCATAGGCTGGACTGGATGATCTTAAAGGTTTTTTCCAGCCTTGGTAGTTCTGTAGTTCTGTGATACTGGTGCAAGTCATTGACCAGCCCTGAGCTGGGATTTGGAGGCAGTGGCTGTGTTGTGCCTCCTGCCCTGGATTTGCTGGGGGGATCTGTGGAACTTCATTGTCATTAGCCTGGAATTGGGATCAGTATGTGTTCCTACCTGTCCTGAAATATGGGTTAGTGCTCAAACCAACAGCCTAGTGTTCCTGTCTGCACTCAAAATTTAACCTGGACTTTTTTCTCTGGCAGGACCTCTGAAGAAAGATGATGGAGATCTGCAGAAAGCTGTAAGTACACAGAGGTGGGACTGAATCTCTCAAAGCTGTGGCTGCCCTCACTGATCTGGCTCTCTGCTCTCCTGCAGTGTCTCATTGAGGCAGTGAAAATCATGGACCTCATCTGCAAACAGGACTCCTCCTACGTGTACCATGCAGCCTCCTCCCTGAAAATCCTGCATGGCAGAATCTGTGGGGATGCCACTTATGCCAGGGCATTGCTGCCCATTGCCCAGTTCTTCCTGAACCACAGTAAGTCATCAGCTCTCACCCCCTCCTCCACAATCTAGTCTTGCATTCTCTCAGCACAGTCTTTTGTCCTGGCAGTTTGCTGGCTGCCACAATTGGTAATTCAGCCTTGGCTGTGCTCTGGGATGGGTGATCCCACTCCAGGAAACCCAGGAGCTGGGCTGTCCCCAGCTTTTTAGAAAAGCATAACCCAAATTCAGCTTAGCCCCTTGGAGCCCTGGTTGGCAAGGCTGCTGGGTGGGCTGTGCTCAGTTATGTTCTGTGTCCTCCCAGGCGAAACAGCAGCTGTGGACTCTGATGCAATCTACAAACACTTGTTCACTGATATCCCAGCTCAGCTCTTCCACAACCCGTTCCTGGCCTTTGAATTTGTCCAGTTCTGCAAAGACAACAGCCAGCTCTTCACTGAGACCTCCAGCATATTCAGGCAGAGCTTCCCAAATCTCTTCAAGGTACAGCTGGTGCAGCACAGGAAAGAGCCTGCTGCACTTTCCTCTCTGTGCCCCAGAACCTTCTGTTTGCCTTTCAGTGCAACCCACAGCCCTCTGTCCCCCTGTGGCAGTGCTAGGCAGAGCATGGACAAAAAGGGCTATTACAAAAGCAAGTGTGTTTGAAGAGGGAAGAG